AGCTAATGTTTCTCTCTCTCCCTGTCTCCCTCCCTTCCCCTCTTCTCTAAAAATAAATAAATAAAATCTATTAAAAAAGAATTTAGTAGGCTGTCTGCTTCACGTTCAGGAACACCGTGTTCAATGAGCCGATCCACAGGCCTCTTGGAGTCAGGCTGTGCTGGTCACTGCTTTGACTCCCCTGTCCGTCACAGGGTCATGTCCACTCGTGTTTTGGCGATGAAGTGCTGCCACCTGGCCTCTGCCAGGCTCCCTGTAGATTTTGGATTTGACAGCCTCTCCACAACTGCATGAGCCGATTCGTTAAAACAAATCTCCCTCTTTCTCTTTCCATATACGTGTGTGTGTATAGATAGATGTATGTATACACTTTCCAGAAAAACAGATCTATCTATCTATCTATCTATCTATCTATCTACCTACCTACCTACCATCTTTGTAGTTCAGTTTTTTTCCAGAGAAAAATATTTATGTAGTTCTTTCTCAGGAAAACCCTAATACAGTGAAAAACATGGAAGAGAGGATGGACATATATTGAGCAGAAATGGGCTAGTTTCCTAAGGATTAAGATAAAAAAGGACTTGCTAAAACTATAAATCTGGGAGTTTAGAAGCCATTTTTGCTTCCTGGGTTTTATTCAGCCACATTTGCAGATTCTGCTGGAGACAACACCTTGTCATTGAAAATAGTGCAACCAACAAAACCTAATGTTGTATAAGTATGCATTCAAGAACTCAAATTGGTAGGAAAGTCCAAATCTCTTCAGAAATTAAAAATTACATATTTAAAAAAATAATTAGTATAAAAATTCAGAAGCATAACCAGATACAAGCAAGGCGAGCTGGGTCAGCAGCAGGAGGCGGCGAGGGCTTACATTGCTTTGCTCTGTCCCGGTCCGTGTTGGCTTGGCAGACTGCGTCCTGTATCTCGTCCAGCCAAAGATTTTTAGAAGCACTCTCAGGGTCCTGGGAAGATGGTCAGAGAATGAAAAAAGAACAGTACAGGAGGATGAAACAGAATTAGTACTCCTTTTTAAGGAGCCATTTTATGGTAATTTCCACAAGCTCTTATTTAGCAAACATCAAAGCCCACTATACACTGTATATGCTATTAAAGAAATAGACCCCAATCCAACCACTTCTCCCTTCTCCCCAGCCACTCCTCAGCCCAGCCCCCCAGCACCACTCCCCTGAACAGCCTCACTGGTCTCCTATTTGCCTTCTCTGCTTTCAGGTTTGCCCTCTACCATAGTCATCTACAGAGAACCAGGTGACTGCTTCTAATGGACATCTCACTACAGCACTCCTTGGCTTAAACTCCTCCAAAGACTTTTCCTGAAGGTTGGGAGCCAACAAAACTCCCTTGCCATGGACTGTGGGGATCTAATGATCTGGCTTCACCTCACACTCCTCTGCTCCCTGTTCCAGACCTTTACCCCAGCCTCCGTCACATCACAACATTCGACCCAGTTATTTGGCTGTGGGTCTTCCTTATCACTTTGGGCCTTAATTCAACTGCCACCTCCTCCAAAAATGACTTCTCTGGTTACCTTCACCAGATACTGGCTTCCCCTGCCCCTCTGTCACTGTGGTTCCCAGGGCGGCCCAGAGTGCCAGGGGGTACTCTAAGCTTGAGGGCAACACAATGACACTAACATTTATCAGACACAAAAATGAAAATAAAAACAAACAGAAATCAAACAAAAACATAGTAACTGTCCTCAAGGAGCTAACAATTTAGCAGAAGACACAGATATATAAAAAAAATAATTATAATACAATGTGATTAGGGCACTAGCTGTAGATATACAACATAGAAATAGCCAAGATGGGACCAACTTATGGTAAGTAGGGGTACTGAGTTACAAAGGGGGAGAAAAGGCTAGTTTCAGAAAGGAAGTGATAACACCAATAAAAAGGTATTGAATTGTCTTTCCTTTCTTTAAATTTAATTCAATTTTTTTTTACCTTTGGGTTGATTCTGATGACCTTGCTACAGGTGCAGTGCTGGAAGATAATTAACTGGGATTTCCAGACAGCAACTGGATTTTATGTAAACTTGTCCTAGATTGTGAGTAAATTATTTTATCAGTAGGGATCAAATATTCTGGGGGAGGACGAGACATTCCGTTTTTAAAAATGGGAACTTTGCCTGTGTGTAGAAATAAGTATCACACACTAAAGCCTAAAGCAAGACTGTGGTGAAGAAAAGGTAGGTCATCGGAGTCATGGAGAACCACCTTTGTCATCTCGGACTCAGGAAGGACGGGAAGCTGATAGGAGAAGTAGCATTCCCCAGCTTTCCTGAAGGCTTCAACCCGGCTTCCCTCAGACACTAACATGAGATAATGTATGTGGAAGGGGTTCTGAGAGTGAGACAAAAATGTTTTATTTCAATCCTGCAACCTCGGGGCTAATGAAGACCCCTGCGGAAAGCTGGGCACCTGCTTCCCCAATCATCTCTAGCTAGATCTGCCATAAGGGAACCTTCAGCACTTACTAAGATGTTCATTTCTGGGCAGGATGAAAGGGGAAGATTAAAATGGGAAGTTGAAGATTAGAGGAGGAAGGAAGAGACAGGGAGCAGTAACTATTTTTTCTGTTTCCCGGACCGAAGAAAGCCCGCACTCACAAGGTACAGCCTAATACCTAAGCTGTATACACGGTCATTGATATATGTCTCAGGTTTTTTGAAGGGCATTGGCCAAATTCCTTCATACCTTATCACTGTAACAGATGTGCCATACAAACTTATACCCAGATGAAAAGGAAGCTACAATCCTACTTCAAAGCTGATGGGATTAGTTTTAAAAGCTAAATGAAAGAGAGACTTTGCAAATCAAGTGAATTCAAGTCAACGGTTGCTAAACATAAAAAAGGAAAAATCAAGAGTAAAAACCAAATCCAAGCAATGTAATGTCCCCTCTTCAATTGCTCTCTAGAAGACTGGAAATATATTTACAGGATGGCCACAGCTCTACCTCCAGCTACACAGCCAGCTTCAACATACGAGTTACAAATGGATTAAGTGACCAGAAACTAGGCCATCTACAAATCAAGTAATAAACTCCTAGAAAATTTTATATACAAAAGTACCCTCTGTTCAATATTTTGTATTTTGGTTATTACTTCTATAATAAAATAGCATTTTATCTCAGTGTGTGTTACCATATGCTACAGAGTTGAAGTATTAAAGACTGACTTTTTGCTTGTAAACTTGGTGTGGTGCAATTTAATCAGATGTGAAAAATTTGCACAGATTAATTCATTCCTAGCTTATTTGTCAAGTCTTTGAGTCCCATGTGAAATGAGTATTTTTTTATTCTTGCTGCATTTTATGGGTAACAGGCCCATAAGATGGATTGTCTGGCTTAGCATTTCACCTTAAGTTTTTTTAATTACAGGAAAATCTGTTATCATGTAGTATTTTTTTCTACAAATTAAATCATACCCTCCATAATATTACTCAGTAAAGCGTGTATGTTACACAACATGAATGCACTTAACACTACTGAGTTGTGATAATAATGTGTTAACACTTCATAATGGTTAAGATGGTAAATTTTATGTTATGTATATTTTACCACAATTAAAAAACAACTGTGACTTGCTCACCAACACCCATGGAGTAAAGGGTGTCCTCTGCATTTCAGTGTTGTGTTATGTTTTAGTTTAATCAAATACTGTTGTATGACCTCCCCCTCCCCCCTCTTCATATCTGACCCTATGGAATGGCTCAGAATATGATGGGCAAAAGTTCTGGCTAAGCACTGATGACAAATTCAGGTCAATGTGACCTGGATGGAAAATTTTCAGAGTGATCAAGCAATTAATTTTAACTTCATAAAAATGTTTGCTTTCCCAGCATGGAACTTCCTCAGAAAACTAAAAATGGATCTGCCTTTTGACCCAGCAATTCCACTGCTGGGATTATTTACATCCTAAGGATCCTGAAACACCAATCCAAAAGAACCTATGCACCCCCATGTTCATAGCAGCACAATTTACAATAGCTAAGTGCTGGAAGCAACCTAGGTGCCCATCAGTAAATGAATGGATCAAAAAACTATAGTACATTTACACAATGGAATTCTATGCAGCAGAAAGAAAGAAGGAACTCCTACCCTTTGCAACAGCTTGGATGGAACTGGAGAGCATTATGCTAAGCGAAATAAGCCAGGCCGTGAAAGACAAATACCATATGATCTCACCTTTAACAGGAACCTAATCAACAAAACAAAGAAACAAGCAAAATATAGCCCAAGACACTGAAATAGAGGACAGGCTGACAGTGACCATAGGGGAGAGGGGAGGGAATTTCAGGGGAGAATGGGAAGGGTTTACGGGAACAAATTTAAAGGACACATGGACAAAAACTAGGGGGAGGGTGGTAATGGGAGGGAAGTGGGGAGGGTTGGGTAGGTGGGCTGGAATGGGAGTAAAAGGGAAAAAACTGTACTTGAACAATGATTAAAATAAAAAATTTTTAAAAAGTTTGCTTTCCATGATTTATTTAATTTATAATCATGTAACAAGTTTAAGAATTCAGATTTGAAATAGGTGGGAGAATAAAGAAAAGGATAATTTCTGATAGTTAATTGTTAAGTAGAAGCTAATTGTTAAGTAGAACCCCATATTTAAATGTATAAAATGAGATGTGAGACAGAGTGAAAACTAACTGCTGGTCAGCATTTATTTTCAGCTTGCTTCTGCGAAGGACTGTATGCTATCTGCATTTTTTCAATGCACAGAAGTATGTGGGAGGCATTTACAGCATCTATTCAGAAGGGACTATTCAGGGTGAGTAAGAGTTAAATGACTCTCTCCAGGGATCATGCCATGTGTACAGAGGCTCAATCTGAGCCACGCACACCAACACACGAGTGCCATCACACCCCTTCCAGGAAGACGGCCTGAGCAAGTTCTCTGCCTGCAGAGCACAGAAGCACAGTTCTACAGAGAGCACTAGGTTTCCGTCTGTTGTTAACACATGGAGTGGAAGTGAAACCGTGCTCCCTAACCTTGCACATTTGATAACATTTCGGAAGCAGTACTCAGGTCATTGGAATGAAGGCCCTCATCTTTGCAGCGGCTGGAGTCCTGCTTCTGTCACCCACTTTTTGTCAGAGTGGTAAGTGCTTTCTTTTCTTACATGATAGGAAGGAGGTGCTGGTTTGTGTCACTGAATCTAATTTGCTTTGCATTTCACACAAATTGCAACCTAAAAGGAAGAGTTTGATCTTAGATATTAAAAGGTGGCACTATGGGTGTAAATAGTTATAGTTTATTCACTATTTAAACCTTGGTCAAGACTAAGTGTTCTCGATACAGTGTCAAAAAAAAAGCCCAAAAAAGACTAAGTGTTCTCTACTTATATTTAAAATTTTGTGGCACAGTCAAGATTTTAGACCTCTCCAATTAATTTGAGTCAATTTTCTTTGTGAGAGGCTTTTGATTTTCTAAGCATTTCCTCTGATTCAGCAAACATAGAACTTTTAAAAAGAGATTTTAAAAATCCTATGTTTATACCTTCTGGTGATGCCAGAGGGGGAAAACAAGAGCATTGTCAGAGAGATCAAGTAAGTGGTCTGCTTTCAATAATCAATAATGCTACTTAATTAGTGCTTCTTAATGGAATGCCTTTTTGACTTTCAGTGGTACCAGGGATTTAGTTCTCCCTACCCTCATATATGATTTTTAAATTTTAGAAATGAAATCTCCCAAATACTATCATTCAATTTGTAATGTGTTTCCCATTTTCCTCAACACAATGTTAGCCTGGAACTTTCTGCTTGCTCCACAATTAACCAGTTTGGGCTAGATCTGCATCTCCAGCTCTTACAGTTAGGTCACACTTCAGTCAACATTGTTGGGATCCAGGAGAGTGAGGCAGAGGAACAACGAGGAGGGGAAAAAACAAAATAAAAAACACCACCCAAACCTCTGTAAAGGAGTGTCGCTAAAACTGACAGCTGGAATCACTGAAAAGATTGCTCAGAGAACCCGTGGACAGCAGCACGTGTGGGACTTAGGAATGGGATAGAGTGAATACTGTTTCTGGAGTGGACGAGCCCATGCAGCAGAACAGCAAAAGAAACAAGGCTTGTGGATGGAGGTGGTTCCTTCAAGACATGGGTGGGATCTCGAGGCGGTGACTTTGCTTTCTTTGGGAGGGTGGGGGGAGAAGTGGGAAGTGGCTGAAGTCCACTTCCTTTGGACCTGAGCCTCTTTAAGGCCTTTTCCTGGGTTGGAAAACATTTTAGAATTGTTATGCTAAATGGAAACTTGTATAAAGAATTCAATAGATTTTAAAAAACATTAACAGTAAGTGCTATTCTTAAGGAAAGCCAGACTGTGGAGAATAGAAGACTTGCCCATGCTGAATCAATCGGCTGGGATTCTCACGATGAATGGATTTAAGACTTTTTCAGAGTCGGTATTTAGCATTAGCACGATTTGGGCATGATGTCTTGCTCAATCACAGGAATTTTCTGAAAACTGACAAACACTTGGTTTCAATGGATCTCTCCTCAGATCCTGAAGGGAAACAACTCATGAGCAGGGTCTTCAGCCCCCATCTTCCAGCTTTGTGCCGACCTTGGAAGGCACGTCTATTTGGGGGATGTCAGGTACAAGAATTTTCCAAAACTCGAAAGTGAGCAAAAGGGTTTGTGTGGCTGAACTTGAATGTTACACAACATGTCTCCACATGCCTCACAGTTCACATCCAAACACAGGCACAAACCACCACCACCTCCCAGATTTTTCTGCCCTTTTCTTTAATCTATCTCCCCTTAAATAACACCTGAGCACCTCCCTGCCCCTCCCTCTTTGTTACACACTTAATTCAGTTTGTGCACTCTCAGGGTTATGAAGGAGGCTTCAATTTCACCTGGGGTCAACTGGTAGAGATGAAATCAGGAAGAGAAACTGGCTTTGAAAGAGAACCACATTACTGAACACTAACCTCAAGTATTCAGCATGTAGAAATTCAAAGGTCACATGAAAAGGAACTGGCAGAGAAATGGCATTTTAAATCGATAAGTATGAAGTTTAAATTCAGCATAAAAGTTCATCTTAACAGAAATTTGAGGGAATCTACTTTCTACTCATGTCAAAGATTAACTTACAGAAAAATTATATAATCATAAACAGGCCTAAGTATAGATGTTTGTCTTGTTTTTGAAATTGCTCTTTCAAGAATTAGTATTATTAATATCAACATGCCATGTGATGCCAAATAATTATAGTATTTATTGATTTCATCCTCTGATTTTTCTTCCTTTGTCTCCCCTCCCCTTAAAAATCTGGTATTTCCCCTAACATCTGCCTTTGGATGTTTTTCCCCCTCACATCTCTCCCTAGGCTGTTCAATCACTCCTATTAAATTAAACTACAGACTCTATGCAGACTAAGAAATCCATACCTCTCATTTCAGCTCCTGAAAGTTTGGACTCTACACCTAAGTCTTCTAACCCGCCCTGGGACATTCTACACTCTAATACCCCACCAGCAACTCAAAAGCAGGAGTACTCAAAACTGAGATCTTAGCTTCTCTCTGTTGCCGTCCCTTGGACCACCCTCATCTTCCAAGTCATCTACAGTAGAAACATCCAAGTCTGCTTTGCCTCCGGCCAGTCCCACTCCACCTCCATAACCAGTCAGATACCAGGTCCCTTTGACCATCCATCCCAGTCGCATGTGTCCACCTTCACCTTTGCACCGCCTTTGCTCTCGGTCCATAACTCACCATCGTGAGTTAAAGTGATAACAACTGACTCCAAATGAGGCCCCTTTGCCTTCAGTTGAGCATCTTTCCAGTCTGTTTTCTACACCATCACCAAAGTCATCTTAAACAGAAGTCAAATAAATCATTGTTATATTGGTTTCCTACTGCTGCTACAACAAACCACCATAAATTAGTGGTTTGAATAATTTATTAATATCTTATATTTCTGGAGGTTACAAGTCCTAAAATCAAGGTGATGGTAGGGCTGTGCTCATTTTGGAGGCTCTAGAGGAGAATCTGTTTTCTTGCCTTTTTCTCCAAGCAGCTTGCATTCCTCGGTCATGGCTTCTTCCATCTTCAAAGCCAGCAGCATAACATCTTCAGGTCTCTCTCTCTCTCTCTCTCTCTCTCTCTCTCTCTCTCTCTCTCCTCTCTCCCTCCCTCCCTCCCTCTCTCTCTCTCTCTCTCTCTCTCTCTGATTTTGACCTTCTTGCCTTCCTATTATAAGGACTCTTATGGTTATATTGGGCCACCTGAACAATCCAGGATACTCTCCACATCTCCAGATCTTTACTCACATCTGCAAAGTCCCTTTTGCCAGGTAAGGTAACACATTCGCAGGCTCCAGGCGTTAGCAGAGAAAAACTTGGGAGCATCATTATGCTGTCCACCACAATGGCCATCTGCCTGCTCATAATTTTTTTGTGTACAACTCCAGCATCTATCAATGGGCACATGATTTCTTAGGTTAAGGGCCTTTCAGAGATTTTGCCGTAACCTAATCTTTCAACTTTATCTCTCAGATGAACTTTATTAGCATAAGACAATGCATTTTTGTATAACTTTTCCACTTGTCTGAGAGTTGAAGACAAAGACAGCTTATTTAAAAACTATATGCAATAAAATAAGCAATAAGCACTTGTTGAATTAACTTATCTGACACTCCTACATCCCATAACAGCCCACACTACACCTCTGCCCATTCATCATCTATCAGAGCCTTGTTCCTCTATTAAATTCCATCTCTTTATGAACCTCACTCATCTTTGCTACATTCATCTTTTCCTTGACATTTTGCTCAAAAACCTAAATCTGTTAACTATTGTCTGAGTGACTATACAGTGTATAGTTAATGTGACATTGGCCTATAATGGGCTGGTGTGCTATTTTGTTTCGCTCCAACAATATTATAAATCCCTTACACGACAGGAGTTGTCATCTATTTAATGCTCCTGCATTGGCCAGCATGGTTCTGGGGCATATGATATGCCTTTGACTGCCTGATCTATAATGATTTTTTAAAAATAAAAATGACCCTACATTTTACAACTACAGAAATTGTGTAGTGTACTACATTTAGTTTTACTGACTTCCAAACAATAGATATGGCTCACCAAAATATCACATGTTAATACTTCTTTTTAATGACAGGTATGGGAAATGATACACGCAACTTGGGAGACCCGACATTACTTAGTAAGACCTTCCATGGAGCTCCCCTGATTTCTTTTGAAGAGACCTCCTTTTCCACCATAGAAGACTGGGCAGAAACCACAAATGTAAAAATTAAGTGCCCTGAAGAAAGTGTTTCAAATCTCCACGTGAATAATGCTACCATGGAGTATCTGAGCAGCTCCTTAAGTACCAAACTGATACCCGCCGTCTACATCCTGGTGTTTGCAGTAGGTGTGCCAGCCAATGCAGCGACCTTGTGGATGCTCTTCTTCAGGACCAGATCCATCTGCACAACCATCTTCTATATCAACCTGGCCATTGCAGACTTTCTTTTTTGTGCCACACTGCCCTTTAAAATCGCTTACCACCTCAATGGGCACAACTGGGTATTTGGAGAAGTCTTGTGCCGGGCCACCACAGTCATCTTTTACGGCAACATGTACTGCTCCATTCTGATCCTTGCCAGCATCAGCGTCAGCCGCTACATAGCCATTGTCCATCCTTTTACTTACCGGGGGCTGCCCAAGCGTACCTATGCCTTGATAACGTGTGGGTTGGTGTGGGCAACAGTTTTCTTATACATGCTGCCATTTTTCATCCTGAAGCAGGAGTATTATCTTGTTCACAGGGACATCACCACCTGCCACGACGTCCACAACATATGCACGCCTTCATCTCTCTTCCAACTCTACTACTTCATCTCCTTGGCATTTTTTGGATTCTTAATTCCATTTGTGGTCATTATCTACTGCTACACAACCATCATTTGGATGCTTAATGCTTACGACAAGAGGTGGTTGTGGTATGTTAAGGCGAGTGTCCTCATTCTTGTGATTTTTACCATTTGCTTTGCTCCAAGCAACATCATACTTATTATTCACCATGCCAGCAACTACTATGACACCGATGGTTTATACTTTATCTATCGTATAGCTTTGTGCCTGGGTAGTCTGAATAGTTGCTTAGATCCATTCCTTTATTTTCTCATGTCAAAAGTCCCAGATCACTCCACTGCTTACCTTGCAATAGTGAAATCACCTTAGAGAACAAGGAACGCTATTTGTGAAAACATATATTCTTGGGATAACATGAGCATAAGTGCAAAGAGCTCTATCCTCTAGCTCCACTTTTGATTTTCTAAGACATAGTGTTTCAAAATAAAATATTACAAAAGCACTAGCTTTAAAAACACACTACCAGCCCTGGCTGGCATAGCTCAGTGGATTGAGCGTGGGCTGTGAACCAAAGTGTCGCAGGTTTGATTCCCAGTCAGGGTATATGCCTGGGTTGCAGGCCATGACCCCCAGCAACCGCACATTGATGTTTCTCTCTCTCTCTCTCTCCCTCTCTCTCTCTCTCTCCCTCCCTTCCCTCTCTAAAAAGAAATAAATAAAATCTTTAAAAAAAAAACACACTACCAGTATTTTAGGAAGATCAGTACAGGAGAAAAGATATTACCACTCTCTTGATGGCAACTGACACATTTGCCTGACTGGAACTTCAAACTCTTTATATCTCCATTTTCTCTACTTCTATGAGTTTTCTACTGCAGATGGAGAATGGGAAAAGGGACAATGACACACAGCATGGGGAGAAGGTAAGATCTCAGTTTTATGTACCTGGCATCATTTTTGATTCTTCTGCCTTCTTCAACTTCCATGCCAGTGGCTGCCTCATCAGCTGATTTGATCTTTGAAATCTCTCTCACTAGGACTCATCGTCTTAGTCCCACCTTTGCCTCCCAACCATTCTCGTCACCTCTACTTCATGGGGGCCACAGCCATACTTTTCTTCCTCAACTATCAGTTTGAATATCTCATTCAACACCCCCCACCCAGCTCATTGCAGCACTATTTACAACAGCCAAGCTATGAAAACAACCTAAATGCCCCTCAAGAGATGAGTGGATAAAAAAAGCTGTGGCACATATGCCCTGGCTGGTGTGGATTGAGTGTCAGCCTGGAAAGGGTCACATGTTTGATTCCCAGTCAGGGCACATGACTGGGTTGTGGGCCAGGTTCCCAGTAGCAGGCATGTGAGAGGCAACCACACATGGATGTTTCTCTTCCTGACTCTCTCCTTTCTCCTCTCTCTAAAAATAAAGAAATAAAACCTTTATTAAAAAGCTGTGGAATACTATGGAATACAACTTGTTCACCAAAAAGAAGGAAATCTTACTGTTTGCAACAGCATGGACCTAGAGGCTATTGTGCTCAGTGAAATAAATCAGAGAAAGATAAATACCATATAATTTCACCTATAAGTGGAAGCTAAAGAACAAAATAAATGAACCAACAAAATGGAAACAGACTCAAAGATACAGAGAGAGGACTGGTAGTTGCCAGAGGTGAGGGGGGCCGGTGCGGTTGGGGCACTGGGTAAAAGAGGTGAAGGGACTAAAAACCACAAGTTGGTAGCTATAGAATAGTCATGGGGATGTGAAGACAGCATAGGGATATAGCCAATAACATTGTGATAACTGTGTCCAGTGCCAGTTGGTGTACTGAACAATATCGAGGGGAACGCTATGTAAAGTATATTATTATCTAGTCACTAAGCTGTATACCTGAAACAATACAAAAGATAAAATAAAAACCAACATAAAAAACCTCCATGGACTCGCCTCAGCTTTGGGATAAATAATAAATACTTAGTCTGGCATTCAGGGCTAACCTTCTAATTTTCCTTTCCAATAAGCCTTGCCTATGATGTAAACACAGCCAAACTTCTGGCTTTGCTGTGTTGTGACTTCTCCTCTTCTTGCCCTGCCTCCAGCTGGAAAGCTATTTTAAACATGTTTGCCTTAATTCTTTCTGTCTCTTGAAGTCCTCAAAGGGCCACTCTTTACTGATTCTCAGGTTAGAAGTTCATTTTTCTAATCTGAACTTTCAAAGCATTTCACTGTATTTTTATTTTTAATTTTCATCCTCACCTGAGGACACTTTTCCACTGCTTTTAGAAAGAGAGGAGGTGGTGAGGGGGCAGAGAAACACTGATTAGCTGCCTCTTGTAGGCTCCCAACCAGAGACCGAACCCATGACCTAGGTATGTGCCTTGACCAGGAATGGGACACACAACATTTCGGTGCATGGGACAACACTCCAACCAACTGAGCCACACTGGTCAGGGCTGTATTTTTATTACAGTACTTATATACAGTTCATTTATATACAAATATTGATTCTGTAAACACTTAAGTACCATATACAGTAGAAAAGGGGTTCCTTCCCTCCCTTCCTTATGCTTTCTGTGGCAACCCCAGCCAGGCCCAAGTTTTTCAGGGTCTGTGGGGCCCAGCTTCAGGCTTCACATAAGATGTGGCCAAGTGAGTGAAAGGGTAAAACCCCAAAGCCTCTCAACGGCATGCAGGCCCATTCAATTCATACAGAGAAAGCAAGGTCCTGTGTATGACACCGACAGCATCATTTTTGGTTGGACATGAAAAAAAGTAAGGAAGCTAAGCTATGAATATACTCAAAGCCATTTAGAAGTTTAAAGTGCATCCATTATTTTTGTTCCTTAAATATAGTTTTTATTGGAAAAATGATATTTTGTTATGAATACCCAGTATCTTCCTGTAGGTAAATGACTATCTTTCCCTTAGTTTAGGGATTAGACAGGAGGTGAAGTAGTTAAGGACATCAAAGATCGCTGACATGAATTTTCAGGTCTGTAAAAAATGTTCACTGACCATTATACTCTGTAGTGACCATCAAAACAATAAAAAAAATTTTAAGTGCCATATTTTTTAAAGTGCAGAGCTTCCTACTTCATGGACTCAGGTTAAAAAACAAGAACAACATGCCCACAAAGACCCTTTACAGCATGCACGTTGTCATGTGAAGAATCAAAATCAGGTAAACACTAAAGGAAGCAAGAAAAACAAATCTAAAATAAATTTCAAGATAACATAAACTTCAATGGAAAGAACTGGTTTCTGCAAATAACCAACTGTATTATAGTTAACTATAGAAAATATGCAACAATATTCTCTTGTTAAAAGCACACTTCATTTTTATGTAGCCCATTACCTGTAGCAAAATAGAACTTTTGACGGGGGGTATAATCCATATGTTCTCAAGGAAAGCCTTCAATTTAAAAATAGCTAAAGAGGGAGGCAGAGGTAGACATGCTTCCCCTCATTGTGCAATCATAAGAAGGAACACAACTAACTTAAAAACATAAAACAGCCAGAACTGCTAGAAAAATCACCTAGAAAAACACCCAGAACTGTACAGAAGTCTGACAACCAAGGATTTAAAGAAGCTATATTCATCCAGGTGGGTAGGAGGGGTGGGGAAGGGGAATCTGGGTGGAGAGGATGTGGTGTGGCAGTGGCGGCTGGCGGAACAAGGGTCCCACATTCGTGTGTGGTGGATAATAAGCAGGGGGATACCTTATGAGCAAGTGATGCCAGACCGAGCAGCCCAGGGTCTCATTGCTAGAAAAAGAAAACCTCATAAAATGAGCTGTAAACCCAGTGGGGGTTGGGGTGGTGGAAGAAACTCCCAGTTTCTTAGGAGAGCCTGGAACATACGCAAACCCACCCATTCTGGGAACCACAACCAGGACAGCAGCTGGAGGGGTGCCAGTCGCATACAGGAAGTGGGCAAAGTGACTAGAAAAGGGGCAAGAGCCAGGCAAACCCCCAGAAGTTAGCCAGCAGCATCACTGTCCCCTCTGTGATCCCTCCCCCCCACAAAGATCCACAAAATGTTGAAGCATGTTACCCCATCCTGGTGAATACCCAAGGCTCTGCTCCATACAATTTAACAGGTGTGCTAAGACAGGAAATCAAAGTGGTTCTACCTAGTACACAGATACAGGGAGAATGCCAAAATGAGGAGACAGAGAAATATGGCCCAAATGAAGGAACAGAACAGAAAAACTAAGTGATGTGGAGATAGCCAACCTATTAGATGCAGAGTTCAAAACACTGGTGGTAAGAATGTTCAAAGATCTCATCGAACAGGGCAAAAGCATAAGGGAAGAAATGAAGGCTATACTAAGGGAAATAAAGAAAAATATACAGGAAACCAACAGTGAAGGGAAGGAAACCAGGATTCAAATCAACAATTTGGAACATAAGGAAGAAATAAACATTCAATTAGAACAGAATGAAGAAATACACATTCAAAAAAATGAGGAGAGTTTAAGACAACTCTGGGACATCTTTAAAAGGGCTAAGATCCACATCATAAGGATGGCAGAAGGAGAAGAGGAAGAGAAAGAAATTGCAAACTTATATGAAAAAATAATGAAAGAGGACTTCCCTAATTTGGCAAAGGAAATAGATACAAGTCCAGGAAGCACAGAGTGTCCCAAACAAGTTGGACCCAAAGAGGACCCCACCAAGACACATCATAATTAAAATGCCAAAGGTTAAAGAAAGAGAGAATCTTAAAAGCAGCAAGAGAAAAGCAGAAACTTAACTACAAAGAAGTTTCCATAAGACTCTCAGCTGATTTCCCAAAAGAAACTTTGTAGGCAAGAAAGGACTGGCAAGAGATATTCAAAGTGATGAAAAGCAAGGACCTACAACCAAGATTACTCTATCCAGCAAAGCTATAATTTAGAATTGAAAGGCAGATAAAGTGCTTCACAGACAAGGTAAAGCTAAAGGAGTTCATCATCACCCAGCCCTTATATGAAATGTTAGAGGGACTTATTAAGAGAAAGCAGATCAAAACTATGAACAGTAAAATCACAACAAACTCACAACTATCAACAACTGAATCTAAAACATAAAAACAAATTTAAGCAAACAACTAGAACAGGAATAGAACCGTAGATATGGAGATCACATGGAGGGTTACCAGCTGGGAGGGGGAAGTGGGAGATTGGGGGAAAAGGCACAGGGATTTAGAAGCATCACTGGGTAGGTATAAAATAAAACGGAGGATGTTAAGAACAGTATAGGCAATGGGGAAGCCATATAAGTTATATGCATGACCCATGGACATGAACTAAGGCTGGGGGGGGATCACTGGAGCAAAGAGGGGGTACCAGGCAGAGGGGCAGCGAAATTGGGAAAACTGTAATAGCATAATCAATAAAATATACTTAAAGAATTAAAATAGCTCAAAATTCACTGCCTTCAGTGAGCAGACAAGG